ACTTGGCCTTTTTCCTTAGCTGCTCTTAATAGTCTTTTTTTTTTTATTCTGTATATTTGGGATCTGGATTATTATGTGGCGAGGGGACTTTTTTGTGATCCACTCTATTTGGTGTTCTGTAAGCTTCTTGTACCTTCAGTGGCATGTCTTTCTTAAGGTTGGGAAAGTTTTCTTGTATGATTTTGTTGAATATGTCTTCTGCCCCTTTGAAGTGGTTTTCTTCTCATTCTTCTATACCTATTATTCTTAGGTTTGGTCTTCTCATGGTGTCCCATATTTCCTGGATGTTTTGTGTTAAGGATTTATTGAACTTAATGATTTTCTTTGGTTGATGAATCCATTTCTCCTAGTGTATCTTCAACACCTGAGATTCTCTCTTCCATCTCTTGTATTCTGTTGGTAATGCTTGTGTCAGTAGTACCTGACCACTTGCCCACCTTTTCTGTTTTCAGCCTTTGTTCAGATTGTGTTTTTTTTATTGTCTATATTTCATTTGTCAACCCTTGCACTGTTTGAATTGTTTCTTGTAATTTTCGGTTTATCTTTTCGTACATTTGTTGCATTTCTTGCATATTTTGGTTTGTTTTTTCTTCCATTTCCTGCCTTTTTTGGTTTGTTTTTTCTTCCATTTCTTGCATTTTTTTGGTTTGTTATTTCATCCATTTCTTTGAGGGATTTAACTATATCCTCTTTTAGGGCCTCTATCATTTTCATGAAGTTGTTTCTAAGGTCATTCTCTTCTGCTTCATTTGCATTGGAATGTTGGAGTCTTGCTGGTGTGGAGTCTCTAGAATCTGGCGGTGTCATGTGTTTTTCTGTTGCTGAGTGTGTTTTTGTATTGTCTCTTTCCCATCTCTTCTTCTAGTGGGTGCAAAAAAAGCCCCTTACTGGTCTGGTGGTTAGGGAACCAGAGTTCCCTTTCGGTAGGTGCTAGCAAGTCCAATAATCTGGTAGTTCTTCTATTCCTTGTCCTAGTTCTGGTCCCGTGGGTGGAGAAGAAGACCAGGAATCTGGGGTGCTTAGCCTCCCACCTGGTCCCCTGGTCCCTTTGCTGGAAGAGAAGACGTGGGATCTGGGGTGCTCCCGCTGGGATTGGAAGCTTTGTGGCTGTCCCGAGTCACTGGAAGGCAAGCCAGGGATGAGGGGCCTTGTTTACCTGGATCTGGTGGTTTCCTGGTCTCGTTGATGGAAGAGAAGACCTGGAATCTGGGGTGCTTGGCTCCCACCGGGATGGGAAGCTCTGTGCAATTCTCAGGCAATCCCCAGGCACTGGAATGCAGGCCAGGATGCAGGGCCTGTTTTTCCTGGTCCCGCTGGACCACCTGGTCCCCTGGTCTCCTTGGTGGATGAGAAAACCTGGGATCTGGCATGTTTGGCTCCTGCCAGGATGGGAAGCCTTCCCCAGTCACTGGAAGGCACGTTGGGATGCAGGGCCTTCTTTCCCTGCAGCCTTCCCCAGTCACTGGAAGGCACGTTGGGATGTGGGGCCTTCTTTCCCTGGATCTCAGCAGTGTTTCATTCTAAATGGCTGATTATATTAGAAAAAAATCCTAAAGAAATCATTATATGAATTTGCATAATAATAGTTTCCCAGGATTACTTTTAGTTCACATGATTATTTTGGTTCTTACTTATTTTTATTTACTTTGTGTTTGAGTATTTCGTTCACATGTATGTCTGTGTACCATGTTCAGGCCTGGTACCTGTGGAGGTATAAAGAGGGCATTGGATTCCTGGAACTGGATTTATGGACAGCTGTGAGAATTGAACGAGAGTCCTCCACAAGAACAAGTTCTCTTAACTGCTGAGCCATCTCTCCAGCACTATTTTGGGTTCTTTTTGAGTTTCCATTTAGAATAATTTTTATTTAATTTGAAAGCTTTTCTTTCTTCCTTTTAAAAGCTAGTGGGTTTGTAGCTGAAGCTGACCTTGAGCTCCCAATCTTCCTGTCTCCACCTCTCAGATACTGTAATTACAGGTATGTGCCACCATGCCTAATCTAGACAATGTTAAAATTCATTGAATTTCAGATAACATATGGGTGCTAAGAAACCAAAACTCAGGTCCTCTGCAGGAGCAGGGTGCTCCTAACCTCTGAGTCACCCCTCCAGTCCTCTTCTTTCTTTTAAGACCTAGATTTCATGTAGTCAAGTACTTGAACTACGTTAAGAGCAGCTTTTCAATGTTGTATGAGGGATAATTTAGCCTTATTTCCAAAGCGTGGCTTGTCTAGGGTCTCTCTACCAACTGCTCTCGGTTTCTAATGAGTTTTCCTGGCTTGATTAGACAGAACTTGGACATTTCCGAACTCCTTTGAAACTCTAGTAGTTATCGCAGTTTAAACTTTCTACTAGCTGCTGTTTGCCAGTCCCAGAGTTGCTCTTGAAGCCCACACATGGGGCCAAGGGAACCTTCACGTATACTTCTGGTGCTCTTTCTTTGGCATTCTGCATTCAAATTAAAGCTCTTTTAATCCAGTTTCCATCCCCTCGGTACCTTGAGGCTGTAACTCTGCTTCTAGTCTATGCTTCCATAATTAACCTCAGAAAGCAATCTGGGGAAATCTGGAGGATCAGCCTATTGGCTTCTTTCTGTGAACACAATGCGGCTATGCTAGAACTGGAAAATGCCTGCAGGCACTTGTTTCTCAGACATGGTCTTGTTTTCTTTTGATCATGCTTTGAGACTTCGTCTGATAATAGTGGCACATGTGTGTCTGAGTTACTCTTAACACTTTAAAGATATACACTTTCTACACCAAAAATTTACGCAAATCACAAGCATACAGCTTAAGGAAGTGTTGTTAATAGATCGCAATGAATAACCAGTGTCCAGATCAAGAAAAACACCAATTTTCCATTTCAAATATTAATAACATTCAACGGTGCCCAGCATCCTTCCTTTGATTTTAAATGTTATGTAAGTGGAGTCATGTAACATGTGCTTTTGTGTCTGTCTGGTTCACTCTTGGGGTTTGTATATAGCTGTGAATTGTTTGCTCTTTTTCCTTATACTATGTGAACAGTCTATATCATCTATTTAAAGACAGTTATATATATACATATATATGAATATGTTTCTGTTGAAAGTATATCTCAGAGTGGAATTCTGTGTTAATTCACACTAAGAACTGGCAAATGTATAATTAGTTCAGATCTTCCCTCTGAGCCCTAGGCATACTTATCCAAAACTGCCTGACATTCCCATTTATAGGTCTCCCAAATTTAACATAGCCTCACACATTTGCTACTCTTTGTAAATCTAAATGGCTCCTTAACCCATCTTGTTACCTAGGAATCCATCTCTAGTAGTCCTCTCTTATTTTTTTTAACCTGCTCCAGAAAAATCAGTCCATTAAATACCATGAATTCCACCTATAATTTATTCATATCTTGAAATTATCCATCTCTTTCTACCTCTACTGCCATTATTCTAGTTTAAGTCACCATCATTTGTGGCCTTGATCAATACAACTGACTCCAAAGTGACCCATCAGTAAGCCTTCTTGCCCTCCAACAATCTATTCTCCATAAGCAGCGCAGTGAGCTTTAAAATATGTAAATCAGATCCCACTTAATAGTCTTTATTAGCTCCTCATTGATCTTAGGGTGTGTTGCTGATTACAGTCTGAACTGTGTTTAAAGTAGTCCAATAGAGTTTAGCCCTTACCTCATCTCAGCCTAAACTTCTTGCTCCTACATACTCCCTGTTTTAGGATTTTTATCGCTGAGATTAAACACGGTGATCAAAAACAATTTGGGAGTGAAAAGAAGTAAGGGCAGGAATCAAGGTAGGAATCTGGAGGAAGGAACTAAAGTAAAAGTCAGGGATGAGTGCTGGCCTACTTACTTGCTCCTCACAGCAAGCAGCCTGCTCAGCCTGCTTTCTTGCACAACTACCGGCTCTGGTGTGGTACTGCCCTCAATGGACTGGGCCCTCCTATAGCAATCCTCAATCATTGCAATGTCCCACAGACTTGCCCCCAGGCCATTTTACCGGAGGCATTTTCTCAATTAAAATTCCCTCCTTCATCTATGTTAAGCTTTGCATCGCGCTGATAGCCACCAACCAGCACACCTTCCTAGGACAGTCCAAACTTTCACAAACCATGTTTCCTGGGCCCAGAACATTATTACAGGTCTCTTAATATGCCTTGACCTTAAAGGCACTTATTCAAGGAGTTCTTCCCTGGCACTCAATTAATTCATCAGTGCACCTATTAAGCTTTCTTCCCTGTATATTTTTGTACCAGTTTTACTCTGATACCTCTTGCTCCTATTACACCTTAATAGGAGTGCTGTGTACATTCCTGTATAAAATGCTCAGCATGCCGCTTGCCAACTGATGGACATTCCGTATACTTTTGTTAAATAATACAGGACCTCTAGAAGGCTGGAGGGAGTGGGGGTGGGGCTACTGGGGACAGCGTCTGTCATTTGTCTGTCTTGGAAAGTTTCTTTGTGTAGTGGCTGAAGTGGGGGAAGGTCCTTTCCCTGTTCATCAGACAGAGCTTTTCCTCTGTCCCAAGGGGCCCATGAGAGAAACTGCTTCCAGACACAAAGCAGCAGGTGAAGGAGATTAGCCTTATTTCCCAGGGACAGTTTACTTTTGTGCTCAGGAGACTAGGCATCTCCAGGTGCAGGTGCGTGAGAAGTTGCCAATCTCCGCTGGAGGGGGCGGGGATAGGGCGGGCCCCGGAAGGGGGCGGGTCATTGGGTGCTTCCCACGGAGTCTGATTGGCCCGAGCGAGCTCCGCCAGCTCCAGCCACGTTGGACACGGGCAACCCCACTGGGAGGCCCCTCCCGGCCCCACAATGCACTGCGTGGCGCGTCACTCGGAGCGGCGGGTCCCAGAGCGACAGGTACGGCCCGGCCCCTCTTGGGTGTCCGGGATCCCTGACCGGCCGCTAGCGCCGCTCTCGGCTTCCCTCCTCGGCCTCCCCGGTACTTCCCGAGCCGGAACTGAGCGGCGGTGGCCGCGGAGCTTAGAAGGGCGGGTGTGCGGGTCCCTGAGACCTAGGGCTGCCAGCCGCGCGGGCGGCGGTTGCTGTTTGGCAGGCCTGTCCCAGGATGGGCGGACGCAGTAGGGGGTGGCTGACGGGGAGTGCGGGCGCCCCGGGCTGCCAGCGAGCGGACTCACTGTCATAGATGTCAGAAGCACACGGATTCACCCCGGAGAGAAAGCCTGAGGTGGCATTCTTAGTTGTTTTGGGGGGCGGGGTAGCTTGTACCAGTGGCGTACCCTGCGATTTGTGGAGTCTGAAAGGGCGCTGAGGTTGGAGATCGCCCACGTTGGCTCAGGGAAACCCCCTGAGGCCCTGCTTAAAGGTACTTTGCGACAGACACTGTGTGGCAGGAAAGAGACCTGAGTAATTGGCTCCACAAGTGGGGATCTCCAGAGGAGGCCAAGCTGTAGCTTGCACGAATCTCTCTCAGTAAAAGCAGCTTAAGACTTGATTGTCTGGTTCTTAGTTTCCGGGATCAGCATCACCTGGAGCAGGTGGAACTCTTCAGAACCAGGCCCTGCTGTGCTTAATTTTGGGCAGAGTCAGTGTCTGTGGGCCACGCTAGACGTGATGGAATTCCAGCTGATGAACAGAACAAACATTTTTAAAAAACGAATCAATTCCTTGTTACTGGTACCCACTCGTTTGCCAACACTGTGAGAAGTTAGGCGACATCTTAAACATTACTTAGAACTTATGGTGTGTAGAGGTCAGAACTGAACCTGACACCCGTGACCATGTTCAAAGTTATTGAGGCGTCAGGTTTTTCCCACTTACGACAATCATGCCAGTTTAGTAACTTTATTTTTAGAGACTGCTTAAAGTTTAAGTATGTTTTAGGTTGATGTAAGAAAAGAAACTCCTGTTAGAGAGATACTTGTGACCTTCCTCTCCGAGTAGATAAGCAGTTAGGGTATGTTTAGAGATAATGTTTTATGGAGTTGTTAGAATCAGACTCCCTACTTAACTCATCTAGAAGTTGAACAAATGCCTTAAGCTTTTGGGACTTGTATTTCCTCCAAAGCAAAATGAAGCTAATACCTAACCTCAGAGGTTTCTGGAAGGCTCAAATGAGGTGCATGAAATGCTTGGTCTGTAGAGTGTAGGCAACCTGTCAGTAGTAAGGATAGCAGAATACTTGAAATAGAACTTTTAGTAGATTGCAGGCAGTGCCCGGTGCTTTTCATGAGCATAGGACATAGAGGCTGTTAGTGATCTTAAAAAGAGCCTCATGAGATAGGGTCATAGCGTTAGGAAGGTTGAGAACCATTGACCTAAGGTATTGGTTCTCTCATTCCCACCTTGTTTGAGACAGGGTCTCTTGTTCACTGCTGTATATACCAGGCTAGCTGGCCTCAGACCTTCTGGAGATTCTTCTGTTTCCAACTCCTGTCTTCCTGTAGGAGCCCTCAGGGAGTATAGGTGTTTATGCATATAGTCATGTCTCGATTTTTCATGTGTCTGGAAGCCAAACTCGTGCCATCAGATGGCTTGCTCTGCAAATGTTACCCACTCAGCAATCTCCACAGCTTGTAAATGTTATTTTCAAAAGCTTGTTTGGGGACTGGAGTGGATCAGTGGTTAAGAGTACTTGTAGTTCTTGCAGAAGACGCCAGTACCTGTGTAGCTGCTTACAACCATCTGTAACTCCAGTTTTCAACATACCAATGCTCTCTCTGTTTTCCAAGGGCACCAGGCATGTACATAGTGCACATACACACATGTAAACACTCAGGTACATAAAATAAAAAATATTGTTTTTTGGTTTTACGAGACAGGGTTTCTCTGTATTGTTTTGGAGGCTGTCGGTCCAGCCCGGCCTCGAACTCACAGTGATCTGCCTGCCTCTGCCTCCCAAGTGCTGGGATTAAAGGCGTACGCCACCACCGCTCAGCAAAATAAAAAATATTTTTAAGAAGCTTGTCAAAATATCTTGTCATTTTAATTAATACTCTGATTAATACTAATTTAGAAAGTTTTATAAATGCCTGCCAGCTTTAGCCTTGATTTTTATTTAATCTACATTTTTCATTTTGTCTTAGGTCTTCTGTGGGTTGAAATGTCTATGATTTTATCTGCCTCTGTCATTCGTGTCAGGGATGGACTGCCACTGTCTGCATCTACTGATTATGAACAGAGCACAGGAATGCAGGAATGCAGAAAGTACTTTAAAATGCTCTCAAGGAAACTTGCTCAACTTCCTGATAGATGTACACTGAAAACTGGACATTATAACATCAAGTAAGATCTCAGTTTGTTTTATTAGTTACTTGCCTAGAGGTTGTCATTTTAATGAGATCTAAGTGGTTGCAATAGAAATGCATATTTTATTAACTCAGGAGAACTTGCAAAGTCAACAGTTATGTTCTGAATTTACACTAACTAGTAGTCATGATGCTATCAACCTTTTTTGCAGACTCTCTGGATTTGAAGACTTTATATTATTTTTGAAGATAGTGCTTCCTATGAATTGCTTGATACGTATTAGAGTTTTTACATGCTCAAGTTTGTAGCAGGCAGGTTGTATGGAAAATGCTAAGAAGTAAAGCTTTTCCTACAGGGAGGGCAAATTATCCATCTGTCTATTCTTTAAGACTGGGTGATAGGATAAAGTGGTGATTGAGTCCTTCAAGAAGAATGATATTTGAACAGAAACTTGAAAAATGAAAATAAGGCAGCTATATAAAGGGGCCTATGAATGAGGAGTAAGGCTATACTTGGCCCTGATAGGCTTTAGGAATGTGAAGGAAAAAGAAAAGCTAAGAATCATATGTAGATTTTTGGCTTTAGAAATTGCATGCATAATGGGATTAAAATGAGAAGACTGGAGAGGTTAATTGCATTTCATTGGTAAGAGTTCTGTTTGGACATGTTAAATCTAAGATGCCCATTAGCCATCCAAGGGGTACAGTCAACTGGATGTGTGAGCCTGAAGCTTAGCAAAGAGGACATTTGGGGGATTTAAATTTGGAAGTTCGTTTATGATTTGTAACAAATGAGATCATTTTGTACAGCATCCATATGAAACAGTTAAGGAACAGTTAACTTTGGGAGTCCATGATGCTAATTATGAACATAAAAAGAAGCTAGATGACAAGATCCATGTAAGGTATATAAAAGCTCTATTATTAAGATAAGACATTCTGTTTTGAAGAGTTAAAATTCACCTAAGTCAGGACAGGGTATCACATCCCAAGTGTAGGGAAGGGAGGCAGAAGAAGCAGTATATATGTACTACATGGTAGGTGTGTTAAGTTGTTTGACTTGGTGCTAGCGGATGAAGATTTGAAGAAGGCTATGAGACAAATTTCATAACTAGTGGGACCAGATCCTGGATTGCCCTGAAAGTTCAAATTGAGGGAATTTATTTTGATACAGTAGGTTACAGGTTTGCAGAAAGTCACTTGATTAAAAAACAAGCAAAGGGAGTGGGAAGCGGCACATGTCTTCACTCCCTACACCCAGGAAGCAGAGGCAAGCAGATCTGTAAGTTCCAGGCCAGCAAGGACTACATAGTAATACTGTCTAAAAACAAACAAATGAAACCCCCCAAAAAACAACAAAACAAAACCTAAGACCATGGGACATGGAGTAAAACAGGAAGTTTGAGAGAGAGAAGTTCCGTTGTGAAGTAGGAAAATAAGTGTACAATGAGAAAATGCCAAATGGAAGGAATGGTCAAGGCCGCTGAGTGGGAATAGTAGAGATGAAGCCTTAGAAGTGAACAGAATGGTAGTGTCCTCAGAAATGAGCAGCCCTGGGAGAAGGGTTGTTTAGGATGTGAGGAGGGGAGGAGAGATGGAGAGATGATGAAGTCCTATGTGTGTTTTTGTTTTTTGTTTTATTGAGACAGGGTTTCATAGTGTAGTCCTGGCTAACCTTGAACTCACTCTGTAGACAGCCTGGCCTGGAACTCAGAGATCTGACTTTGCCTCCCCAGTGCTGGGATTAAAGGTATGCACCACTATACCTGGTTTTCATGAGATCTTTCCAGTTGAGATGATCTAGTGGAAAGGATGATGGGGGATTTTAGAACCATTCACATAGATACAGTGCAAATTTGAGGGCAGAAATGCCCACTGACTTTAGAGAGTGCTAGAATAGAACTTTAAAGAATGTCCACAATTACTTGGATTGCTTAGTAACTGTAAAATAATAGGATGTTACATTTAATTGGAGTTTTGAGGATTTACCAAGAAAACAACATATTGATGATAGTGGTTAAATTGTATCTAAGATGGTGTTTGAGCCTGCTTCTACTTAGGGTGAAGACAAGAACTTAAAACCTTGAAGCATTCAGGTAGCAGGCTTTTTAAAGCAGTCTGTCATTCTCAGTTCCATTTGTTGTCAGGTAGTGGGATAGAAATGTTAAAGTTATTGGAGATTGGATTGAAGTATATGTTAATATTGATAACTACCTGGCATTAAAAAACAAATTTTTTGGTTTTTGTCTTGCTGTATTTTCTTAAAAGCAATATAAATGCACTAAATTTTTACTATGTCCCAATTCTATTTAATTATGAATTTTAGATATTTTTTTTGGTTTTTCGAGACAGGGTTTCTCTGTGTTGTTTTGGAGCCTGTCCTGGAACCTGCTCTGTAGACCAGGGTGGTCTCGAACTCACAGAGATCAGCCTGCCTCTGCCTCCCAAGTGCTGGGATTAAAGGCGTGTGCCACCAACACCCGGCCAGCCGAATTTTAGATTTTATATCATTTATTTTAACCCTATCTTCTACACAAAGGATTTGGGGCAATTTTCATATACATTAATTCAGGAGGATAAATGAAGAAATCCAACGAGAAGGAGTAGATTTAGGAGAATAAAAAACAGAGGTACCATTTTCTGGAGATGCAAACACATAGCACATGCATTTATTAGAACAGACCTGTAAGTGCTGTTCTTAATTTCTTTGTGTCCAAGGCAAGATGGGAGAGTCAGTCAGTAGACAATCACAGATTGTTTTCCTGTCCCTGAGAAGTAATTCCCATAAAAGGGGCAGCATTTGGCTAGCATTCCTCCAGTAGCCATAGTAGTGAGCTTTTTGCAATTTTTTTCTTATATTCCTTGGTGTGAAATTTATTTTTTTAGATTGGTTCACTGATTAGTTGAACTTTAGCTTTAAAAATTACTTTTAGCCAGGCAATGGTGGCACATGCCTTTAATCCCAGTACTTGGGAAGCAGAGGATGTGGATATCTGTGAGTTGGAGACCAGCCTGGTCTACAAAGTGAGTTCCAGGATAGCCAGGGCTGTTACACAGAGAAACCTGTCTTGAAAAACCAAAAAGAAAAAAATCAAAAATTGCTTTTGTATTTTCTTTTGTGAATATGTGTGCACATACATGGTTTCTACACTGCTGCACACCATGGCATTTACCATATTTATAGGTCAGAGTACAACTGTTGAGAGCTGGCTCTCTGCTTCCACCATGTGTGTTTCAGAGATCCAACTCAGGTCATCAGGCTTGGAGGCAACTAAGTGCTTTTACCTGCTGGACCATCTTGCCAGTGTAGGTGGACTTTTCTTTCCCACCTACCAGTGCTCAAATAACCACACAGAGGCTTACTAATTATAAATGCTTGGCCAAAAGCTTAGGCTTGTTTCTTAGCTTGCTCTTATAACTTTAATTAATCTATTTCTGTTAACCTACGTGCTTCCCTGAGGCTCATTTACCTTATGTATGTACTTCCCGTCCTGCTTGCTCTGTGTCTCCTGGTGTCTTCTCCTGACTCTGCCCTTCTTCTCCCCAGAATTCTCTTTGCTCCCAAAATCCTGTCTCACAGTGACATATATTCACAGAATAAAGGAATATTCTACATGCAAGCACATGATTTTGTTTTTCAGACAGCATCTTATTGTGTGCCTTAGCTGGCTTTAAATTTGTGATGAGCCTCCTGACTCTGCCTCACGAGTGCTAGAATTACAGGCTCACACACTGTGCCTAGCAAAACAAAATGTTTTAAGATAGAGCTTAGGAGTGGAATAAGTCAATAGGGGTCCAATCTGGTGTGATCCAAGAATGTGGTTCATATATATGTAAATGTATAAATTACATAACTTTTATAACTAGCCATAAAAGCCATCTCTGCATGTTGTTTTTGTAGTTAAGCTTTTTAAAAGGGCTGGGGAACAGAACTTTAAGCTGTAATTCCAGAAAAGAACCTGATTTCATGTATTTTTCCTCATTAATCAGAGATCTTATTAGTTGGTTTCTAGGCTGTTAGGGTGTTCACAGTATGTGGCAGCAAACTCAGTCTGATACAAATTGGCAATTTATTTGTATTACTTAAAATTTTTACTTTTTATGACCTTTTTTTTTTCTCCCTGCCATGTGTTAGATGAAACTTAAGGGCTCTGCAGTAGTAACATCATGGCACACAGCCTGAAGTTGCATCAGGCTATCTTTCTTTGTCCTGGTATCCATGTTTCTTTCAAAGCCCAGCTTATAGACTGCTTGTTTTGAGTTACCGTCTTTCTCATTGCTAGCATTTCATTTTTCAAATGATCTCACTGCCTTCACAGGTTACATGTAGAATTTGTTTGACTGCTGTTTTTCACAATTTAAATATTAAATTTCCTAATTTCTCTCTGTAATTGGGTTGTAACTCATTGAGGTAATTGACTCATCATAGCCTAACCTATTTTAAATATATATTTATTTGTAATTGAATGTGTGTGGGGAAGGTGCTGCATATATGTGGATTTGTACACATGTGAGTGCAGGTACTGTTGGAGTCCTGAAGAGGGAGCCAGATCCATGGGGGTTGGAGTTTCAGGCTGTAATGAAATATAATGTAATGGGTGCTTGGAACAGAACTCAGACTCTCTGCAAGTAGTACATGCTCCTAACCATAGAGCCACTTCTGCAGCCCAGCCTAACCTATTTTAATTCTTCATATTTTAGTATAATGCTTTTCAAATTAAGTGTCATAGTAACTAAGTTATAATTGTAGGCTAAGCCACTTTGTCCCTCACATTGACGTCTAGGGTGAACTTGCAGAGAAAGACTAGAGTTTGGAGGAGGAAATATAAGACTAGTAATGTTTAAAATTAAGAGAGCTCTTTTAATTTTCTCCCTCTCTGTATGGGGGAACGATGGGTTTTCTGTGACTGCAGTGGCCTGAAGGCCATTTTGCTGGTAAAGCACATTCCTCAGAGTAGGGCTTGCATTAGTGTGGTGCCTTGCACGTGTCATAGATAGCAGCAGCCCTGTTTGCTTCCCGTTGCTGTGATAAATACC